CCACTGTGACCAAGGCATCAGCAAGGTGGGGGTGGCTGTGGGCGTGGCCCTGGGCCTGGCGGTGCTGGTGCTCCTGATCCTCATCCTGGCCGCCTTCCTCTGCTGGCAGCGCTGCCGCCCAAGGAAAGACCGCAGGTAGGTTGGCGACGGGCGATGGCGCCCCCTGCCTCTGGGCTGCAGTTTCGGGTGGCTCGGGGCCTTGACTGGCACGGAGGGGCACCACTGGGGTTGGTGCTTGGGAAGCCCTTATCCGGCCTCTCCCAGCGGCCTTGCAACCCCTCCTCCCTCGTCCATCCGGAGACACGGGCAAGGGATCGGCTTTGCGGTCGGCGCGTTTATTTTTCACAGGCATGCAGCCGGCCGGTCCTCAAAGCAACCGCTTCCACAGGGCGATTTGCCGACGACTTAAAACTGCAATCCAGACAGAAACAGCAGTGACCGGAAATAAGCAAACAATCATAATTATAATTTCAAGCCACAGGCATAAAATCAGTTCAGAGGCTCCTACTGCAGCACCGAAGAACTGCAAACTATGAACCTATTAAAAGACTCAGTCAGCCCCATGTTTGGGTACTCGGTGCCCAAACAACAGATGTGTCAACACACATATGTGCACAGATGGGCATTCTCCCTGCCGTGCTGATGACTGGTGGGGGTGAGAAATTATCGCAGGGCCGTTGTGGCTGGTCTTCCGCAAGGCCCGGCAGCTGCGTGGGGCAAAGCCCTGCTCCGAAGGGTCCGGCCACAGGGGCTGCCTCTGCTGGAGCCCTCCCCACCGCCACTGCATAGAGACGCGGCTCGGCACAAAGGGGAGCCGTGCGCAGCTCCAGAGAGCCGCAGCGTGTGCACGGCTTGCACGGCTTGCACAGAGCACCCCTCCCTTGTGACTCGCCTGGCCAACGCATTCTCCAGAGAGAACCGGGTGGTTCACGAGGCACAGACACTGTTTTAGTGATTCAACGCATCCCTTTGAAATGCAGAGTGCAGCAGAAAAGCACACCCCACACCTAGCGCTCAGATACGCCCAATGCCCTTGCCTCCTCTTTTCCCCACAACAATAACCCTGCGAGGCGGGTTGGTCCCTCTGAGAGAGAGGGACCACCCAAAGCCCCCAGCCAGCTTTCATGCTTCAGGGAGGACTAGAACCGGCGCTTTCCGGGCCACTAGCCCAGCGCCTTTGTCCTCACGCCAAACAGGCTCTCTCTTTATTCCTTCCCCAAAGAAGCCGAGCGACATCCGGGGGTCATTATCCGCCCAGAAGGGCGAGCGGCTTCTGGAGAAGGAGGTTCCGGAGCAACCACTGGAAAAGCCAAGCTGGACAGATGGCGGGCTTGAAAGATGGTTGCAGTAGATGTTCCCCCTTCAGCAGCCCACACCGGCTGCAGCCGGAAAGCTGCCCCCCTCGATGGCGTCCCCAGGAGTGGCTTGCCCAGAGACGAATCGGGAGCCAGCCGCTGCTCCTGGGCCGACCTGGGCCTTCCAGAGGCAGAGGGCTTTCAGTTAGGGCCCCAGCTGGAGCTGCCCACCCCTGGCACTGCCAAGCATCCAAGGCCCAAGGTGGCCCCGGAGAAGGCCTCCCCAGGTGGCACCTGTGCCAAGGTGGGCTCTGCTGCAGGTGGGGCCCCAGGTTCAAAGGATGCGGCTGCAGATAAGGGTTAGCGCCACAGGGCACCACAGAGGCCGGGGCAGGGATTCCCTCTTCCATGCCACAGCTCCTCTCGTGTCACCCGTCCCCCTCTCCCTGTCAGTTGCTCCGGGACGGGAAAAGCAAAAGTGTGTCTTTCCCGGTTGAACCGCTGCCGCGAGAGCACGTCCAGCCTGGCGTCCCTCTGGTGGCCCCATTCAGGGCCAGGAGCACAGCTCTCCCTGACAGCCTCTCCTGCGTCTCTCCCAGGCTGTCACGGGCACATCCCAACGAGGAGAAATGGTACGAGAATGAGTCGGACTGGGTGGCCCGGCCTCAGGGCTTTGCCCTGCAGAGCCCCGAAGCCCAGCGCCAGGTGCCAGGTAGGTCCTGCCAGGAGGCTCTCTGGAAGAGGGCGACCCACAGCTTCCTTCCTGAGCCTGCCAGAGGGCAGGAGTGCCAAGGGATTGGGGCCAGCCAAAGGGGAACAGAGGGCTGGAAGCCTCTCTTGGCCGGTGCTCCTGACCCGCGTGGCATCTGAGGAGTGGCAAGGAGGTGCAAGGGGTTCCCTTACTGGCCCTGCACCTGCCATTCTCGGTGGAGGGACCCTTGAGGCCAGGGGCATCAACTGGGCCTCACTGGGCCCCCTCTGCTCTCTCCTGCAGACCCCTCTGCCAGCGCTAGCAGGGAGGACGCCTGCTCCGTATCCGAACAGGGAGGCTTCCGGCCACGGCTGGAGAAAGTGGACACATCCCTCCAGGTCCAGAAGCGGGGAGAGGGAGGGGGGGAGAAGGGTGATCTGAGTGGTAACCCCTCCCTTGGAGATCAGAGCCCAGGATTGGAGCTTGGAGAGGAAGGGAGGCAGGGCAGGAGGAGGCAGCTGGGGAGGGGCTGGCAGTGGGCGCGAGCAAGGGAGGCAGGGAGAGGGTCTACCGCCCCACTCGCAGCTGGGGCCTTCTCTGGGCCCCTCTCTGGCCCCTGGGTGGGGGGGTGGCTTGCCTCTTCCTTGGCTCCAAAGCCAGCTCCCCCTTTGTGTTTGGCCCCCTTTGCAGGCACGGATTGTTCGGCCACAGATAACCCAGCTCTGAAGCAGCCTCGGAAGGCAGTGTTGGATCAAAGCGGGATCAGCGCTGGGCTCGGCCCAGGTCCTGGCACTGTCCAGTCGTCTGCTGGGTGGCTCCCGGCTCCTCCGCCATCCCTGGAGCTGGGGGTCGGGGGGCCTTTGAGCGGCTCCTGAAGCAGCGGGAGGGGAAGGGGCCTTGGTGGGCCTTCACGGACTTCTGCTACACACGGATGCTGGATTGCACACGACGTGTTTGATGGTGGCAGCGCACGCTGTTGGAGATCTGCAGAGACACGGGGTCCGTGGGGGGCAGAGGCCTGCTGCTGCCGCCCCAGCTCATGACCCACACGCAGTCTCTGCGGGCAGGGACTGTGACCGTGAGCGCACGGCTGGAAAGCTGCCCAAGGCCGCCGCGCCTTCGCTGGCCACTGTCCTCCTGCTGCTTTAGTCCAGACTGTTGCCCCTCCTTCTGCAGTGACTTGCGGGGGCCCAATACCCAGCTGCCCCGGACCTCCAGTTGGCCGTGCTGGGACGCGCAAGTCACGCTTATGTGCCATGTGGGTTGACGATGAAGGGGAGGGAGCAGGAGGGGCGCGTGTGTTTGCCCTGGGCATCTGTGGGCAAGGCTGACCCCAAGGGTAACCCTCTGGGCTGAGGGGATGCCTCCTGCCAGCATCTGTCTGGCTTTTAGCTTGATGCACTGCCGTGACCCACCCACGCCCCTCGGGCCTTGGATCAGCTCCGGACACAGCTTTGCCTGCCTTACAAGGAATAAAAGAGAGCCACCCTAATGGCCGTCTTTGTGGTCTCTCGCCACACGAGGCCAGCGGGAGGGCAGAGCACCACCAGGTCTTGTTCGGCCAGTAGCTGGTGCTCAGTGATGAGGGCTTGGGCCACAGAGTTTCTGCACGGAGATTCCTGCTTGGCAGACTGTGGCTGGACTCATCCTGCTGAGGCCCAGCGGGGGCTGCTGCCCCCTCCAGAGAAGATGGCCCACCCCAGCGGCACGGGGTCACGATGCTGGTTGTGTGGTTGGGTGGCTGGCGCTCCTATCACAGCCCTGGTTGCTGGCAGGGGACAGAATGGCCAGTCTCCAAAGGCTTGTGGGGTGTCTCACTGCAACATTTTCTCCCTCCCCATATCTACGGGGTGAGGTCTCCTGGAGTTCTCCCTGCCTGGCAAAAGGGACCTGGCTGGGAGAGGCAGGGTAACCTGCTGTTTTTGAGCAGGGGGCTTCTGCTGCTGTGCCCCTGACAGGCAGCCCCCAGTGCAATCCCCTCCAAAGGTCCAGAGTCATCTCTGTCAAGGGCACAGCCTCCTGGCCACTTGTGCTGATCCAGGTGGGGGATCCTCTCTTCTGGCTAGCTCAGAAGGGAAGTGGGGGTGGATCCCAAATTGGTGGAGAGCTAAGTTGTGGCAGAAGCAGAACCTTTATGAATAAGCATCCTGGATAGGGGAGACTCTGAAAGAAATGTGTGTGTTGGCGGGGGGGGGGGCAGCGGAATGCATGCACACAGACAGGCACACGCATGCACACGCATTCCCAGAGCAGGCATTCAACTGCTCCCCCCACCCCGGGGAAGGAAGCCAAGTGTCCTGGGCAGATCATCCCAGGAGGACACTGACCAGCCGTGGGAGCTTCTGCTGCCCACCCCCCGCCGCTCTCACCGGAGCTGAGGCAGACATCTGCCAAGGCAAAAGCGGTGTCCGTCCAAGGAGGCTGCCCTCAGCTGGTAGCTCTGGCAACCTGCACAAGCCTCAGATCCCAGGAGGGAGCTCAGCGCCTTGGGCCAGCGGCAGGGACAAAACTGGGGAAGGGGAACGCAGCTTTTCAGAGGGTGCAGGTCAGTTCTGCTCTTCCAGTATTCCTTCAGAAACATGAATATTAGGAAGAAAGTTTATTAAATGCCTGTTGGTTCAGGGGAAGCGCGTGGTAAGATGAAGCGGCAGCTTGACCTGCGCCGTTCTTTGTACAAATGAGAGCAGTGCAAGAGGGAAGTAAGCGGGCAGCGGAGCAGCTGGCTGGGCAGAGAGCCGAGAAGCCCTGGAGGACACGGCAGAAGCAAGAATGGCTGGCCGGGGCAGAAGCTTCC